ATATATATATATATATATATATATATATATATATATATATATATATATATATATATATATATATATATATATATTTAATTATATTTAACCATTTATGTTTTGACTAGTGTTGAGAATAATTTTGTAACACTACATGCCATAACACAACACTTGTTCTATGTCCTCTCTCTTAGAAATAATACAAATAAACTATAGTATAAAATTATATAATAAATGTGTTATGTATGTTTTTGGCAGTATGTTTGTATCAATAGTGAAGAGGCTTATAGTGTTGAAGAGTACAGAGCTTTATGCATTTACACGTTATGGGCTGGACATGCTTGGTGCAAGAAAAATGCAGGTTAGTATTAGCATTGTCACTATATATCACTCTATCAACATTATGGTTTTTCTGTTAATCATAATTTCAATGCACAATATCTGCATTTCTGACCTGCATTTTCAGTTTCTAGACTGCTTAGCCTTTCAAATGCTTGGAATGGCTCTAGACTTCTTATTAACCTTGATCATCCCCAAGTTGAATCCCTTAAATCCAGGTTGTCACTACTGCCTTATGTTTATTCTAATATCCAATGGAAACTTCATATGCTTTTCATTTATGCCAATGTTAACCATTAACACTACTGAATGTAAATGACTTTCAGCTTATCATCAACTTAATTATCAGCAGCTTTCTCACATTCTTTTGGCTAATAATGTGATTCATCTATTTAAACCACCAAAAAAGGTTGGACTAGCCTGAATGAGAAAGGATTGTTTTGCCAAAAAAATTGGCACTACAAAGAGATTCAAGGCCTCCAAGCATGGATGGTATTTTGAGTCTTGCCCATCTTGCAAAACCTCTAACAAGCCCCTCGAAGAGAATTTTGTATGCATTTGTGAAATCATGATTCAAAGTACACTGCAATATTTCTAGAATTAGTGGATTACCAGTCATTAGTCATTATTGATACTACTCTTTTTGGAATATGTCTTTGAATTGTGTTTTTGTGTTACCTTTTGTTGTTTATTTCTTCAAGTTGTTCTTCTGAGTTCTGTATGTTGAAATCTTTGTTTCTGTGATAATGTGGAATTTAGTGTGTAAATTTAATAAGTCATGAAGCTAAGTTATTTGTAGTTCTTTTCTAGCCAAGTTGTATGGATTGCTTCCTTTGCGGTGGGCTGAATGATGACATAGTTTTCTGGTGCTTGTCTCTATTTGCTTAAGCTTTGCAGATTTTTTTTTTATCTTTGATAGTGTCTGACATAATGACTTTTGGATAAAGTGGAGAAGAGAGGGAAAATGTTATTTTTTTATATGCTATCAATAAGGTATGATTGGGTCTAACTGATTTTGTTGTGATCGTTTGCAAAAATCAGTTCATATTTTCTGTGAATAATTGTTGTGATTCCTGATAGGTGTTATGGTGCTGGCTGACAGTGGATTGTGTTGTATGGACGAGTTTGATAAAATGACTTCAGAGCATCAGGTTTGTTCTCGGGTACCCGTTGATCAATTAGGTTGGTCTTAAAGGATGAGCCTTAACTTCTGTTTGTCCTTTATATCTTTCTTTAACCCTTACCTATTCATGGTTGCTTGAGATTCATTTAAATTCATGTTTCATTTAGGTTGGTCTTAAAGGATGAGCCTTAACTTCTTCTAATGATTGGCTTCAAGGATATTTAGTTTTTCAAAATCAATCGTTGACTTGGTACAAGTAAGTATCATTATGTTTTTCTTGTACTGATAACTCATGTTTTGTTTGTGCTAATACTCTATTTTGCATGAATGATAATTGTATTTTTTTATTAAATATATTAATGCTAAAACTTATTTAAAAATGAAGTTATATATGAAATTTCTATGGAATAGATTCAAAGTATAAATATCTTTTGAAGCCCTGTGATGTGTATTTCAATCTATTTTGAGGGTCGAAATTACTTCAATTTGTGTTTTATTTTCCACTATTTTTTCTTCTTCTGAAACTTAACTGAAGTAGGTTGTGTATTAAAACATGTTTTTGCAATTTTGATAGTGTATAGGATACAGTTCTGAAGCTTTTGATCACATGTTCTGAAACTTTTGTGACAATAATCCTTTTGATGACATCATCTTCTGCATTTGTTCTATATGTATTTATGATTTTGAGTGTATGTCATATTTAAAATAAGCAAGGCATTTTCTGCACTTTGTTAATTAAAAAGACTTAATGTATTGCAGGGAGGTAGTAAACAAGTTAGATTTTAGCATGTTCATGGGAAGTTTATAGCTACTGCTACTGGAAATACTCCCAAACTAATTGATGTTCAGTTAGTTATGTTGTCATTTTAATTATGCTAATACTGCAAGTTTATGACTTGCTTAGTATATTTCATGTTGTCATGGATGTAAAGCAACTTCACCTTCTGTTATGAAATGACTATGTAGGTTACTCAAAAGCATTAATTATTGTTATGCCCGTCATTTTTTCATTTACAAAACTGATGAACTTAATGTTTAGGTTTGTGGAGGGAGTATTTCCTTCAATTCACAACACACTAATTCAAAAGAAAAAGGGTGTATACCGAGTTCATTCTCATTTCGATTTTGGTGTATACCGAGTTACAGTAAGTTTTTGCATACAACTACAATTGAAATATCTGGCAGAAGAAATGCAAGCTATTAGTAAATGACTGGAGAAAGTAATTCAAGAACTGTCTGCATCAGAAAATGACGGGCCCGTGTCAGAATACTTCTGCCAGGTACAAACTTCTAAATTCCTATGAATTTGGATTATTACCCTTCTGTTATGTGCAATTTATGAATTGAGTATTTGTAATGTTCATATTCTGAAAGAATTTCTTAGTCACGCCGAAGCTGAAGTGAGGGCTTTGGCTCAGCTTTATGACAATGTGGTATGGATTTGGTTCTTTCTTCTTTAGCATATTTTTTTTCTGTAAACGGTAAATTCAAGATATCACAAAAAATGTATCTAAAGTTCTGAATCTGAATGCACCAGGGTAGAAATGCATATGCGTTGGCGCTATACTTCGGAGAAGATCCGGCACGTTGCCCGTTCGAACAAGGTAAATAGGAAAAACATCATTTCGCAATATAGTCGCCATAGAGATTCTTTCTTTTTGTGGTTTTCTTATTTTTCCTCTCTCTCTATAGTTGTATCTACACTGCTCAACTTTGTGAGGATGTTCATACGAGCACACGACGAAAATTGCAAACAGGTTGAATATGAAAAGAAGAAAGCAGATAAGGAAGCTGCAGAAAATGAGAAATTGAAGCTAGCTGCGAGAAACGAGCCTAAACCTATCATGAGGACCACCATCAAGAGCGGTGATGGTAAATAATCACACTTTTTTACAAGGCCTCAAGCTTCTGACGAATTTTTGTACAATGTAGTTTCGAAGCCCATAAAGAAATTCGTCGGCAATCGCAATGTAAATGCTGATCTGGTGTGTTTTCTTTAACATAAGATAGAATAGTGTTTAGCTTTTATTTTCAATGTGAGCATTTAGAGGCACCAATACTGAAATTTTTTGGTTTATGCTCCATTGTTACATGAACTGATGAAGACAAATGCTTTGTAAATATCAAGCTATTGCTTAGAATACAAGTTACAAATTTTAGTGAGTCATTTTCTTTGTTAGAAGTTTCTCACTTTCAATGATACAAGCCTATCATATTACTCAATAAAATTTTATCTTCAATAACCATATTCTAACCGAAACAATCTTTTCGCCTATACTTTATTTACATTCTGACCGAACTCAAAATTATCAAGATATATCATTGATTTCACTCGTCTGAAAGATTCAACTTTTTTCATTGGCACATACTTACTTTGTGTACTTGCTCAACCATTACTTAATATATTCTAATGATCACCTTATATAACTTATGTAACAGTTGTAAATTGTCACAATATATTTAACTTACTTGCATCTAATTAATTTTAATCAAATTATCATAAGAAATTAATCATTTCATTTAAAATACTATTCATTTGATATAATTAATTTGCATTATACAATTAAATTTATCAATTTATATTTACAAATACATATAAATAAATTATATCTTTTACTAGTTTTTCAATACATGTGTAGAAAATCAAAAAACTTAGATTCAAATATTTACTAAATATGTAGTTAATGTTCAACATTTAGATTGATCCTTCAAAATAAAAACTTAAAAGTGACTGATAGCTTGAGAGAGTTTGCTAGAAATGAAAAAAAGGGTAGGATTTTGTTCATTTTTTATAAAATCTCTGGAGATACCCTCCATAAGTTATATGGGATTACGTTTCCGTATTATTTTTGTCAAAAATAATGATTCGCCTCACTTAAGACTAGATTGTGTCTGGCTTAGAATGGGAAAAGTTTTATATAGTCAATTTTAAGAATGGTATTAATGTTGGCATAATTTAAATTAGTGACGGAAATATTGAATTACTTTAAACAAGTCATAGAACCTTTTTGGTTATATAGCCTACTTGCAAGTTGCAACTAATAGCAAAGTGCTTATTAAAATAAACTTGCATAAACTAACTTTTACAACGTAAAAGAATTTTTTTTTTATAGATATGCTTTAAGCATTTTTAAAAGATAAAGCATAAAATTTTTTAAAACATTCTCACACAATTTATGTTAGTAGATAAGATAAAATAAGCCAATTCAAACATGTCCTCTGCGGCCTTACATAATTTAATCTAAAATGATTTTTTTTACAGAAGTGGAATATTACTATGAACACAGACGGGACAAATAATTAGAGCCTCACATGTGTCAAGTATCCTATTAGAATTTTGGCCTTAATTTTCTCCACGTCACGTAGTATCTAACAAATCCAGTCAAACAGACACTACCAACTTAATTAATATAAATATATCGAGGGCACAGCTTCGAACGCGGCATGCTCAAAATTATAATGATCTTTACAATTTTGATGTACAATAATTAGAAATATCATTACAGCAAAATTGTGGAGCCTGTTATAAGGCTCTGCAGGAAAAATAAAATAAAATCAATCAAAATGCCTTTGCCTTTTTGTGTTTTTGTCTATCACTGTTTTTGCCATTGCTTGCGCCTTCCTTTTTAAAACCTTTGTGTGGTCTTTTTGATACCTGAAGAAAATTAGAATCCCTCAGTCATATACATAACACATAAACTGAATAGAAAGAAGTAACAACATAACATAAAACACTCTTTCCCATTGTAATCCTTCATACCCCAGTAGAGATGGCCATCAGAGGGTCACCGCCTTTTCTTGATTTTCTCTTGGAACCCCGTCGGCGATTATTATTTCCCATTGCATCTCTTGTAAGCTTAACTATTTCCCTTGCCTCTTTTGTTGTTTTGTCTATTAGGTAGTCTGGGACATCTCTAAGATGTGGAGGAGGGGCGTTCTTGCTCAAAACTTTGTCATGTTTCAATAGAGCTGCTCAAATACAATTCCAATGGTTTAAGTTTAAAAAATGCAAAAGCAAATGCCAGCAATATATACAGTAATAAAATCAACCAATAACAATACCTAAGTCTCTTGGATTAGTTTCAAAGTGGGACTTCAACCTGAAAAGGAAAAACAAAGGTGTGCAGGCATGGATTAGAAAAGGAACAAAATTTAGTCACAAAGCATGACACATTCAAGACCAAGGGACTAACTTTTCAGAGTTCAAAATCTCATTTCTCAAATCCTGGGCTCGTGATTCCCGAACAGCAATTTTAGTAACACTCTTTGCAACATCCTGCAAAACAATGGCAACCATCAACACAGTTTTCAAAGCAGCAAGTTACTCCAATTATACTCACATATGCATAGCAAAAGCATGGAGAGTTCCAAAATATTCAATATATTTTTATAAAATGAAAACAACTGCAAAAACGTGCAAGATGCAAGTAAATCTCAAGTAGTCTAACTGAGACAGAAAGGACATGATATTCAATAATAGAAGTAACGTTTCTTGTTTTGTCTGGACACAAACTTTAAGAGTGTGTTTGGTAGCTAGAATATGAGAACATATATAGTATATATAAAGTGATCTAACTGAGACAGAAAGGACATGGTATTCAATCATAAAAGTAATGTTTCTTATTTTTTTGGACACAAACTTTATGAGGTGATTTGAGTTGTTGCCAGCTCCTAGCAGAAATCCGAGTCAACTAAGTGAGTCCAATTACACTCCACCCCCAAGTTGGAACCACGAAGAATCAATAAACTTGTGCAAAGATTTCGGTGTTGTGGGATATAAAAAGTTGCCACCAACTTTTGTGTTATTTGGTGTGCATCAAAGTCATTGAGAAATTGACAGTTTTTTATATCCCACCATCGAAATAGTTGCACTAGTGTATTGATCATTTGTGGTTCCAACATGGGATGGAATATAATTGGACCCACTTGGTTGACTCTGGTTTCGGCGAAGAGCTGACTACAACTCAAATGCGATAATGGAGGTTCTCCCCAACTAAGCCAAATGATTTGTTTGACACTGTATCTCCAGAAGAATGAAAATCTTTGGGAAAAAGATCTTACCCAGCTTTCAAAAGAATCCTGGAAAGAAATTGAATTATTTTGAGTCCTGAAAGAGTTTATATAGAGTGGCACCTTTTACCTTGTTTTATAAGGTTGAGTTAGACCCAATCACATTTCTTAATAGTTTTTTCTGACACAAATTGTGAGAGTGTATTTGGTAGCTAGAATAAGAGAAGCTATATCGGATATATCAAGTAAACTATCTTATCATGTAATAAACCAGGGTTTGTCGAGTCAATAAGATACAATAACGTTACCCAGTAGGCTTGCGCTAATCTTAAACTATTGATAATCTAAGTTTTACCTAAGGAGATGGATTTAAAATGAGTATGACAAGATTTTTCCCTTTTCACCATTGTTAGTGACCTATTCTCTCTTTCTCATCTGATCGCTAAGGCTCCCCCAACCACCACCTCATATCATTATCTAGTCCATCTCAAACACAAGATAGGATAACAATGATAGAATACTATTTATGGTTTATCTCACGTGCATTAAATAGTGCATTAAATAGGAATATGAAGATCACATTAAGCTCATTCCCTTTCCTACTCTTATTTGAATCCTAACATGGAAATCATTTGAGGCTGAAAAATATTGAGACATATAACAAGATGAGGTCATTTCATTTTTTAACTAAAGGAAACTTAGTCAGAAGTTTATAATGAACAAAGAACATATTATTTCATTGAAAAAGGATCTCATTGGTTGATGCAGCTATGAAAAGACTGATATTTTTTGTTGAGTATGGGAAACAATAACTCACCTCAGCCCTGTACCGTAAAGATTCTACAGCATTCTTGGTGAGTAAGGGAAACTCGGCAATCAAGGGTGAGCCGACGTTGTTTTCATCGTCCCCAACAAAAGATCTTACTTCTTCAAAGGTATCCATCTCATCTGAAGAAACCTATAAAGAAACAAGGAATGTCTAAATGGCCAGGATTATGTTGCTTGGATCTCAATAGTATTACCCAAAAGAGCAACACAAGCTCGAGACCGAAAAATCTAACGAGTTTTGTAAAATTTACTTGGTAGAGAAGAGGAGCTTTATTTGTCGGATAAACTCACCAAGGTAATAGAAGCACCGGAACTGTATGCTCTTCCAGTACGTCCAATTCGATGTACGTATCCTGCCACACTGCGAGGCATTTCAAAGTTTATAACCTGTTCATCAACGAGAGAAACCATTAAGTAAATTATTTCAGTGAGCATGGCAATCTCCTAATGAAACAAAGATATAAACCAGAAGATAAAATCTAACGTAGTATCGTAAACAACTCTCCCTATAACAACATATGCAGATCAATGACTTCAAACATACACAATGGACATAAACAAGTCAGAAAGAGATATAACATGCATACCGTGTATACATTTTTAAAGTCAATTCCCCTTACTACTCCAAATTCAGAATCTAATTTTAGCTTTGCATGTTTTCTAGACTTTCGCGATCCAACAACATTTTCCTTGGGTGCTTCATCCTTCTCAGTTGACTGGCTGATATCTGCTGCAATTAGATAATCAAATAGGCCCGCATTGAATTCCTGATGAAAATAAGTTCATCAAAATCATTTGATAAAATCTAAAACATAGATCTATAAATAAATGGAAAAAAAAAATCAATAATAATAATAAATAAATTTTGAAGAAAATGCAAGGATTTGGATTGATTTAACATTTTATGTTTTTAACTGCTAATTTACAAAAATGTCAATAAAATACAACAACCACCAAGTGTTTTCCCATTAAGTGGGGTCGGAAAAGTGTCATGTAAAATAAAAAAAAATTAAAATGGTTATCCAAACCAAATTAACCATAAACTTCTTGTAACGATTCAGTTGTAGGAACATGCCATACACAGCACTAGGTTAAGTGAAAAAACCTTAGCACCTATCATACCAATAAGAAAGATGGAAGTGGATAAAATTACATACCTCGAGAATATGTAGACGGGAATTTTGAGGCAATTCAGCATTTAAAACAGCAGACTTGATCCCAAACTAGAAGGATACAGATAGGGAATATTAAAAAATGAGAAGAAAAGATGATGAAAACAATTAAAATTAAAAAACATGATTTTCTCTAGTCGGTCAAAACTCCATAACATCAAGAGCAGACAAATTTAAGGCAATAAAATATCCAGAATACAGAAAATGGGCTTATTGATTATTATCTATTAAAAGGATGCAGTTTGACAATCAATGCAAATTGTTAAAAAAAAAAAGGTGTGCCAACATCAATGTATAACATGTAGTATGATATAAGATTTTTATTAAAAGAACGTGTAAGATTCGATGGATTAAATTTAATTGAAGCATACAAAAAGGTGCACATAATGTCAAGAATCATCTATACCAAAATTTCATGCTCTTAAATATAGGTTCGTGAATGGTTTTATATCATACAAGTCCTCTCACATAAGAACTATTCGAGCTTTGGGCATTAACAAAGTCATAAGCCCACTCTACATGTGATAAAATTCAATGTTTTTTAATGAAGAATGGGCATGATCAGGTTCAAATTCTTGACCATTTTGTCATATAATCTTCAATATCATGCCATTGGCTAACTCTCCCAAGTGCATAAACCCGTTAGGAGAAAACTTAGCAAAGATTTAATGTCTAGCACATACCTTTTCCAAGAAAAGTCTCAATCTGAAACTTGTATCTATGTTATTAGTGAATATCAAAACTTTCTTTTGGACTAACTCCAACTTCAACATAGCAAGGATGTAGAGCAACTTATCATTAGCAGGACAAGAGATCTGAAGAAAAATATTCAAAGAAAATGGTAAAAATCATATCAGCTCGAACACATGAAAAAATGTTGAATCAGAAATCAAAAAGCCTAAATGACAGAAGTATATTGAAAATTAAAAACTTAATTGTAAACTCTTTTCCTTCTTAATTAAACCTTTCATTGCCAAAATATGTGTATTTTTCTTGGAAAAGGTGGACTCCCTTCTCCAAAAAAAAGAAGAAGAAATGATACACTACTTTTGTGTAAAAAATAAAAATTTAACTTAATCACTATTAACATCACAAAATCAAGAAGACGCATAGATAAATTCAAAGAATGTCTTACCCAGAACTGCTGAACATTTTTAGGGATGACCTCATCCTTATGGTTTTCCTTTTCGGCCAAAGTCAATACTATAGCGTTGTGTAAAATCAAATTTTTTAGTTTGTCAACATCGGCACTGCAGAAGAAAACATTTCATTAGAAATAATTGCAAATGGATTGTTAGCGATCGCAGATGGCGGTCCATGGCGGAGCGCCAAAATCCCACCATACTGGCGCTATAGTGGAGACATCATAGCGGAGTATGGCGGAAAAACACACAATATTGGACGAGATATACCATGGAGGATATTTGATAACACTGAAACAGACGTGGTTCTATGGAAGACTTATCCCAAAATAATGGTCAATAATGGTCATTCACACAGCAAAATACTAAGCTAGTATAAATTTACAGAGATAGACAATTCTTTGTAGCAAGTATATAATACAACCTTCAAAATTGCAAAGAGGATCACTATGCCTTTGTCTGTTTCATATATCAACTATAAAGATATGATTGGCTAGAACAAGTAGAGAAAAAAATAAAATTTGAAAAATAAGACATGTAGCAGCATACACGCTATTTGAGCAAAAAGAACTAAAAAAATATGATAGGAGGATGAAACACAATGACACACCTTAATGTTGCAGACATAAGAAGACACTGGCAACTTCTGGGTATGTGAGGTGTTAAAGCTTTTATGTCATTTTCATACCCATATGATAATAGAAGATCTGCCTGAAAAGATTATTTAGGATAATGAACATGTCACCGGATATAAAATGATTGGAACAATGAACGGCAGTTAAACGTCTACTTGAATTGCATTAAAAAAATAAAGACTTATTACAGTTTAAGTCCCTCTATTATACCTAATGTGAAATTCAGGTACCCCAAATAATTTGAGTGAATTTAATCTCTTAATCAAGTTCAATGTCGATCATTAAATTTCTCCACCACTTTTCTTCTACTTAAAACTTTCAAATTCTACTTGTAAAAATAAAATTTAAACCTTCTTACTTTCAAAACTTATTAACCAAATATCAAATTTCACTTAACAAAATTTCAAAGACTTACAATTTTTTATCAAATCTTCAAACATTTCTTAAGTTCAAACTTTTGGCCTTATTTTGATCTAAAATCCATAATAAACTCTCAAATGATTTTGATAGAAAATCAAAAATCAATGGCTGCAAGATTGCAAGAAGGCAATTGACAACAAGATAAAATTTGTTTCACTATTGAAATAATAGAGACTTGATTGTTTCAGAACAAAACGTAAGCCATCAAATTCGCATTTGGTTTAATTAAACCAGAGAAATCAAAAGAATAGTTGAGCTATTATTAAAAGTTAAAAATAACCAACATTTTAAAAATTGAAAAACTATAAAACAAATGAAAACCAAACAGTAATGTATCTGTCAGGTTGTGTTATTGGTGAAAAAAATAACATTGTTCATTGCTCATACCAAACAAATGCTACGAATATAAACAAAGAATGTATCTAATTGCACCTCATCAAGAACTAGAGTTTCAAGGGAGTCATTAATGGATGCTGGCAGAAGTATTGAGTTGGACAAACACTTAGCTATGCAAGCAGGAGTGGAAATCAAAACATCAGGAGGTCCAACCAGTGCTGCTTGCTGCAAAACCAAATTTTAGACCCTTACATCAATAATAAAACCATATTTTAAAACAGATAGAATACATAATTTCCGCATGTATCATCACGATTCACGTGCATATATGAACCTACTTGTGGGTGGAGACACTTGTATTATCTACAGGGACCCTAGCCCCTTCCAGCTTTCAATTAAATGTTTTTCACACCTCCAAATCTAACATTTACGCAGGTTTCACTTGACACACCACTATTTTTGTTTTACTAAGTACTAACTAATCTACTACAATGAACTATAGAGGCAAAGATGACCAAACTGAAGGAAGTTCTCGCAGCCATGTAACTTAACAAAGCAACAGACTAAAAATATGACATGTGTAGAGTAATTAATAGTCGCACGGAGTTGAAAAGTGTAATTTTTTTTCTAATGTTTGTTGTTTATTAGTGGTTAGCTCTATAGCAACGAAACCTCTAACCAAAGGCGTGTCCGGTGTCTAACACCAACACAACACTAACGTGAGTGATTACGTACAAGTTGTTCATTTTATCAAATTATTACCGGTGCCGATGTGGTGTCAGTGTCCTGTGTGTGCTTCATAGGTGGTTAGTGTGGAGCAAATACTCAAACTGATCCATCATAAAAAATGGTCTAGAACTAGAAACAGTTACAACAATAACAACAAAAATGATGGAGAGCATAACCAACCAAGTCAGTAGCAAGCATTTTGCCATTCAACTGCACAACTTTCAGCTGAACTTTGCATAACTCAAGGAGTGACTTAACCTCCACACATATCTGAAAAAATCAAACACATAAAAAATAAAAATTAGAAAAGACGAAACATAGTAAGAAAAGAAATAGCTGAGAACGAGAACGGAAATTGAAAAAAGCGAATGAACCTGTTGACAGAGCTCAGTAGTTGGGACGAGAATAATAACATTAGGTGCTAGCTTCTTCCTATCAACGTTACTAGTAAAGAGCTTCTGAAGCAAAGGGAGAAGGTACGCAAGGGTTTTCCCGGAACCTGTTTTGGCTCGAGCAACGACGTCTTTACCTTCCAGAATATGTGGAATCGCGTGCTCTTGAATTGGAGTAGGCTTCGCGATTTTTTTCTTCAATAAGGCGCGAATGAGGCGTGAGTCTAACCCTAGATCTTCGAAAGTTTTGTCTTCGAGTTCTTTGGTTTCTTCTGCCATGGCTGTTTCGGTTTTCATAGGGAAAGTTAGTTCAGGGTACAAATGTTCCGTTGCCGGAGAGGTTTTGCGATACTCGTAGTTGTTAATGGAAATTAGGTTTCATTTGATTTGGGCCAACAGAATATTGATTTGGGCTTTTGAGGGAGTGGTCCATTTAATCTGGATGAAGGACATGTGGAAAAATAAACTCAATGGTTGAGATTTAAAATTAAAAATAAATTAGAAGTATCAACTATTTATCCATTTATAAATAGATTTAAATCAATTTTTGATCCTCATAAATATTGATATTTTCACTTTTAATTCTTTATAAAAAAAATTAAAAAAATAATTATTCTAATATTTTTCATTCGTATTTTTGATCTCTTTTGTTGATATCCGTTAACAGAAGTTGACGTAGCAATGCAAGTGTGACAAGATACACATATTAATGTCTACGTGACAAAATGTTGACGTAACTTACCACATATCTAAAGTTAATATTATTCATAAATTTAAAAATATTAGTAACTAATCAATAGTTAAAATCATAGTTAATTTATAACAAAAATATTTAATATTTTTTGATATCCCTGATCATTCTATAGCTATGGCTGGAATGAAAATATTATTGTCAGTTATGAGATATAACAATGAAGCAATTATTAATTGTAACTTAACACTTCTCTCTAAAGTATTAAAGCATTTACTAATTACTAAATAATTAAATCATATATAAATCTCGATGTTCTATATTATTGATTGAACTAATTAGTAAAACATATCATTTATGTGTATTTGTCGTTGTCTTTAGACAAAATAGATATTTTCAACAATACTTATACTTTTAACTTGAGGACCGTTATGTTTACACTAAAAATTTGACATTGTGTGTTTACACTATACAAAATACAACATGCTTAATGTATTTGTTTGAGTTAGAATAAAAAAAAAATAATGATTAAACATTTTTAAAAAGCAAAATTGTACAATAATACGGTTTAGGTGTTACATTCAGTGTAACAATAACATTTCTCTTTTAACTTTCATTATTGTTCACTAGAATGGAATCATTATTGATTTTTTGAATTTGGTGACTATGAAGGTCAAGAAACACCATTGACATATTTTGAAGACTTGAGTTGTAGTTAATTAATGTACAATCCACCTTCACTAGATGTAATAGTTCCATTGTATATAGGAGATTTTTTATCAAATAATGAGAGGCGTGGGAAAAATCTTACAATAAGCATGATGGTTTTGTAGAAAAAGCTCTGAAGCAACATATACTTAATTTTAACCGCTTCATCGAAATACAAAAATGGATATGTTAAAGATGATAGTTGGAAGTTAATAGTATGAAGTTATCTATAACAATAGTAATAGTTTTAATATAAATTATTATGTAAGTTATCTAAAGGTAAAATTGTTAGAAAAATAAGCTAAACCAAAACTAAATTTTGTCTTTATATATTGTTATAGATATAAATGAGTCTTAACGGGCAAGTTAGCCACTAAATATCACAGCAAAATTTTACAATTATAAAATGACATCACTATAAACATATAATTGACATACATCAACAGAAACTCTTAGAAGTGAATAGTCATGAACTATTTCAAATATCAAGAATATTAATTATTTGGAACGCAAGCAATATACAATAATAAAAGGCTTCCAGTTGAAGAGATAAGTGGAATGATATTACCCCGCACATGAATTAAAGAAGGATGCACTCTTAGGTAATAGAACTTCCAATAAAAATTAGAGTAATAGTATATAAAGTATATGCAATAATTCATATTTAGGCAAGATTTTAGATATCAAGTATTCCCAATTCCCTTCAAATGTTGAAAAATGGCTCGATCGCAAGAGATTCTGTAAAAATATCTGCAAGTTGATTTTTTACTATCAACATGCTCAAGTACGACATCCATTTTTTCAACATGGTCACGTAGAAAATAGTGACGAATCTCAATATGTTTAGTGTGAGAATATAATATTGAATTTTTGGTTAGATTGATAGCACTAGTGTTGTCGCACATAATAGGAATACATTGGAGTTTTATACCAAAGTCAAGTCATTATTGCTTAAGCCACAAGATTTGCGCACAGCAACTACCGACCACAATGTATTTCGCCTCGGTAGTTGACAAAGCAACTGAAACTTGTTTCTTGCTATGCCAACTTAATAAGGCATTTGAACACATGTGGTAAGTTCCACTAGTACTCTTCATATCCAATTTGCAACCGGCAAAATCAGAATCGGTGTAACCAACCAAATTACAATCGCTTCCCTTAAAATACCAAAGCATGTGGCTATAAGTACCATGAAGATACGTAAGAATACATTTTATGACTTTTAAGTGAGATTCGTTATGAGCCGGTTGATAACGGGCGCACATGTATACGTTAAACATAATGTCTGGCCTAGATGCAGTGAGATATATAAAAGAACCAATCATAGCTCTATATTTCTTCACATCTACATCTTTACCATTCTCGTTCCTTTCCAAGTTACCATTTGTAGTCATTGGAATATCAATTGACTTAGCATATTCCATGCCAAATCTCTTTAGCAAGTCTTTGCAATATTTGGCTTGACATATAAATGTGTCTTTATTCATTTGTTTGATTTGAAGACCAGAGGAGTGGTTTAACTCCCTCATAAGGTTCATCTTAAATTTTCCCTGCATAAGCTTTGAGAGCTCTTCTACAAGTTGCATATTAGTTGATCCAAAAATAATATCATCGACCTAAACTTGAACTAGAAAAGTATGTTTTCCTTGGCGCTTAATGAATAATGCAGTATCTACTTTTTTTCCCTGAGTATCCTTAATCAATTAAAATTTTACTTAATCGCTCATACCAAACCTTAGGGGCTTGTTTAAGACCATACAAAACTCTTTTGAGTTTGTATACATAATTTGGATACCCGTGACTTTCAAAATCTGAGGGTTGAGTTACATAGACTTCTTCATTAATATAGCAATTTATGAATGCAATTCTCACGTCCATTTGAAATAACTTGAAATTTTTAGCACAAGTATATGCTAGTAGAAGACGTGTAGCCTCAAGGCAAGCCACCAGAGCATAAGTCTCCTCATAATTGATGCCTTTGTATTGGCTATACCCTTGAGCCACTAGCCAGACTTTATTTTCAGAGTATAGCTCCTTCTCTATTTCTCCATAAGTGATGAACCCATTTTTCTTTGGCGCATAGTTAATAAAGAGAGATATGTTATTTGTCATGTGCCTTAAACATTCACTATCAAGATATCACATTTTTCCGGTAGAGTCAAGGCATTTAGCCGGTGGAATCAAACAAAGGAAATAGGTACCCAATTTTCATTGGGTCCTTGAGAGTGAGTGAAATCAAAGTTGCATTTGGGAAACCATTGAGTAGTTCCTCCTTTAGGAACCAAACGTTTCCTAAATTTGCACATTTCAATAGTATGGTCTTTCTTGCAACAATAATGACAAGATAGATTTTTATGAGATGTGTTATTGCTTTTTGAGTCCTTATGAAAATATATATGCTTTTTATTCACATGATTCAAGGATTTTCTTAACATTGAAGGATCAATATCAAATGTAATCTTAGATTGTAAAGCATCATCCAATTTGACTTGAAAAGATTTTACCTCATCTTCCCTATTATGAGAATGTTCACAACCAAACCTATGAGGTTTTATATCCTCATTCTTGTCACTTTGAAAATCTATCATAGATTTGTTAACAACTTCAAACCTCCATTCAGATTCCAACACTTTACCTTCCAAATTTAAAATGACTTTTTCATGTGAAGCTAACTTGTTAAAAGCTTTTAAGGTCTTTCTATGAAGATCTTCAAAGGCTTTTTTGTAATTGTGATTAATCATTAATAGATTCAAGCTTATAGAGGCTTGCATTTTTCTTTTTCTTTCTATTTTCCATAAGGCAAATTCTAGTCGATTCAACACTTGAAGTTCTGCTCTCATCGCTGAAGGAATCACTTGCACTCTCCTAAGCGGCATAAGCTCTTCTAGATTTGCTTGATTTATTGTGATGACTCTTTTCTTTGTCTTTCTTCCTCATAGAACATTTTGATCTATAGTGACCAAGTTCACCACAAATATAATAAGATCTTCTAAGCTTACTCTTCCTATCTTCATCATCCTTTGAGGAGTTTATTAACCTTCTAAACTTGGTTATGTTCTTGTCGGGGTGTCTAATTACATTCATCTTAATATACATTTGGTATCTTTTGAAAAAAAAATCTCATATCCTCATCATAGGAATCCTTGTCATCTTCACTGTCACTTAACTCATAATGTGAAGACTTTGAGCTAGAAGTATTTAAAGCTATTGACTTTTTCCCCTCTTTTTTTATTTGCCTTTCTTCTTATTCGTTTTCTTTTCATTCTCTTTTTCATATTTTTTTAAGCAGTGAGTTCTTGCTCATGCTCTTCTAATTTACCAAACAAAGTCGTGAGATCAAGCACTTTAAGATCATTTGCCTCCTTGATGGCGGTGACCTTGGGTTTCCAATCCCTACTTAGACATCTCAAAACTTGGTTAGTAGTAATATCATTGAAAATAGACTTACCTAGCGCATTTAATTGATTGATAAGATGTGTGAACTATTTTTGCATGTCTGTAATAGTTTCACCATGCTCAATATAAAATATCTCAAACTCTTGATTTAATATGTTGATCTTAGCTTGTTTGAGATCATTAGTACCATCGTGGGCAACCTCTAATGCGTCTTACATAGCTTTGGCGATCTCACAATGAGAAACACGATAATACTCATCAACACCTAAAGCAGATGTGAAAATATTGTTTGCTTTCTAGTCATGTGACCATAATTTCCAATCATTAGCATCCCATTGTGCTTCCGATTTAGGTAATGTAACACATTCATCATTGATTACAATTGTTTCATTAGGACCATTTTAAATAGCGTCTCATATACCTTTGTCAACATAGTTGACATGAATACGCATACAAGCTTTCCAATAGCCATAATTTTCATCAGTGAAAATTGATGCTCTAT